ACAACAAAAACAGTGAATAATGAATATAATATAACAACCCACTTTACAATAATTTGTAATGATAATAGAAAAAAGAAAGAAGACAGAGACCAGCACCAACCATTCTCCCTAAAAGCAGCAAAGCCACATCACCAAACTGAATCGGAAAAGAAGATGGAAAGAAAAGCTTATTCTCCTGTTTTTTTCATGGTGGTGGTTGAGAGAAGAGGATGAAGCAGAAGAAGAAATTGCAGAAAGTAATAAAAGATCAGTTTTTGAATTGCAGCGATTGATGAATGGTAAATATACGATGGTGGGGGAATCAAGAAAATGGGTGGTTCTTGGTGCATCAATATGGGTGCAGGCATTCACCGGAACAAACTTTGATTTCTCATCGTACTCTTCAGATTTGAAATCTGTGCTTGAGATAACTCAGCTTCAGCTGAACTATCTCTCTGTGGCCTCAGACATGGGAAAAGCCTTTGGGTGGTGCTCTGGTCTCTCACTTCTCCATTTTCCTTTCTGGGTTGTTCTCTTCATCGCTGCTTTCATGGGACTCTTTGGCTATGGCTTTCAATGGCTTCTCATTCATCGCTTCATCACTTTGCCTTATTCTCTTGTTAGTTTTCTTACACTTGTTTCCATTTCTTTGCATTTTAATTTCCTACATTCATAATTATTCCTATTGATTATTCAAGTGTCAATTTGAATTTTACATTAACTAAAAATAAATAAATAAATCATAAATTTATTATTTTAAGCTATATTTAGTTAAAGATGATTGTGTTTCTTATCCGTTTACTCTCAGTATAATAAAAAAAATTTAATTTGAATTTTCTAATGTGTTTTTGATGTTGTATTTTGTTTTCAAAAGTACATTGATTTATACTAATTTTTAAAAGTCGTGTGTTTTGAAAATATAGTGAAAAGATAATACACTTGTTTCCATTTGTTTGGGTTTTAATTTGGTAAATTCATAATTATTGATAATTTAAGTGTGAAATTAAATTATATATTGACTAAGAATAAGAAAGTTAAGTTTTTCATTCATAAATTTTAAAATTGTTTATATTTTTTCGTTTAATATATCTATTAATAATTTTAATAAAAAAAATTATTCTCTCGATTAAAAAAGTTTCAATCTTTCATGAATTTGGAAAAGTGGGTGGATTAATAATTCTTGGTTGGTTAAAATAACTAAAATGTAATTTTAATTGTATATAATTCTTTTTCTTCTTCCCTTGTTTAACTAGTTGTTTTAGAACAAGGTTGGCATTTGTCTTCATTCTGAATCTTTTATCTAATATCTTTTATTTATTTTTGTGTAAGTATTATACTTTTATTTTAGTTTGGAGAAGTTTTTTCATTAATAAAAGAAAGATAAGAAAAAAGTAATTTTTTGTATTAGTTAAAATTAATTTGTATTATTTTGTAAAAAGTTATATTATTTTTTTTGTCCTTCAGAGATGTATACGGAGAACTTTCATCAAAACACTTTCATCAAAACTTACACTAAACATTTATAACATATTGGTTTTTATTTAATACTTTTAATAAACTAATAAGAAAGTTTTCATAGATATTGGTTTTTGTTTAATATTTAAATTAGTGAAAGTGCCGCATGAAAGGAAATGCTTGAAACTCATTGATGTTTATGTTAATATTGGGATAATATTGTTTCCTAACATAAAAAAATGTGATTCTGTTAAAAATAAAAAAAGAGTTTACAAACTAAATTAATCCTAATTTTTTTTCTAAAATTACATCTGAGTTTTTTAAGATATGTTCTTAATTTTTATAAATATTTCAATTCATTTTTACTTTTTAATATCTCTCATTAATAACGAGTCAGTTTGACAGTGCTTATTTTTTTATTTTTTAAAATAATATATTTTTACTTTTATTTTAAAAATAAACAATTTGATCCTTTTTTAATTAATAAATATTTTAAAAAATACATATTCTAAGTTTGAAATAATAAATTTTAAAGCAAACTTATTTTAAAAAATTTGTGTTTCTGCTTTTTTTTTACAATCATTTTTTCAATCATAAACAAGCAAAAAATAGATATTCATGGAAGGAGAAAAAACTAAAACATTAAAAAAGTTAAGTTAGAATCCAATTCTCACCCAACCTATTCTCATATTTCCCTACACTTATTTTTCTTAATTTATAGCAATCAAATTAATGTAGTGGTTCACCTAATCCATTAACTTTTAGGATTAGGATTCTATGTTGTTTAAAAACTCTACCAAATCACAATAGTAAGAAATAAAAACATAAAAAAAAAAGTCTCATTTCCTTGTAAAATAGATTATACTAAAAAGTTAATAATCATATATGTTAATCTATGATTTGTCAAGTAAAGTCACAAGTTACAACCACTTTATCAACTTCACCTAAGTCTTAACACTTTATTTTCTAATGCTCTAAGATGCAACTAAAATAAAATTGTGCCTAAATATAGTTTTATAATAAAAAAATGTATTTTTTTTCAACTAACTAGATTGTTGGTGGAGTTGTTCTTATAGTTGCAAATTGGATAGGGTTATTAAGACTTTTATGTTTTTAATATATGTTTTTTTTTCTGTATTTACCAATTAAGAATATAATTTGTAATCATATATTTAAAGAACAAAACTATTTCTCAGTTATATCCAATATTTTTCTCCAATTCCTCTTTAGAGTAAGTGGGGCTATCTTATATAAATCTTGAAACATTCTTGTGAAGTTTTTTCCAACATTTGTTAGTTCACCTACCCTTCACCATCATGTTGAGGTAGGGTATGAACATTTGAGTGTAAGTTAAGTCAAAATCATAATAAATATGACTCAATGAAAAAAACATGCAAAATTGAATTTTTCTTCTCTTATATATGTATTATTTTATATGGTGTATTTCAATCTAATTTATGAATATTAGTTTTCAATAAAACGCATTCACATTCTACTGATTTTTCATGTTAGCCTATCAAACCTTTTATAATAAAAAAAAAAAGTAGTACAGATCAACTAATGTTATATCTGTACAAACTATTCCAATTTGATTGCTTCTAACAGAAAAACATTTCTACAAATTTAACAGGTTTTCTTTCTCTGTCTGATTGCTGGCTGCAGCATCTCCTGGTTCAACACCATCTGCTACGTCCTATGCATCAGACATTTTCCTACAAACCGTTCACTTGCATTATCCTTGAGTGTTAGTTTCAATGGTGTGAGTGCAGCTTTGTACACTCTCATTGCCAATGCAATCAACTCAAACGATGACACTCTCTACCTATTACTCAATGCAATACTTCCAGTCCTGATATCTCTTCTAGTACTCCTCCCAATTCTCCATCAACCAAAGCCTCAACCACATTCTATTGACACCATTAAGCATGATTCATCAATCTTCCTCTGCCTCAACATCCTTGCCCTTGTAACAGGCCTCTACCTCATCTTCCTATATTCCTTCTCTTACACACTTGCCACTGCTCGTGTAATCCTTGTAGGTGCCATTTTACTCCTTGTGCTGCTCATTTTTGTTCCTTCTCTTATCTATTCTATGAAATCGTCTAGCTTTTCTCTCCCCACAAGTTTTTCCTTCTTCTACTCAATACTCACTCGCGATGACCCAGATGATAAAGAGCTTTACCAAGAGCTCATTACCATCGAAGACAGCGCGGAGAGTAAAAGTGCACAAAGCACAAGAGAGAAGAAAAGTCTCTTGGAGAGAGAGCAGCTTACTATGTTGGGGGAAGAGCATTCAATTAAGTTGCTAGTGCGTAGATGGGACTTCTGGTTGTACTACATAGCATATTTCTGTGGAGGAACAATTGGTTTGGCTTACAGCAACAACTTGGGGCAAATTTCCCAATCACTAGGACACTATTCTCACATTTCTTCTCTTGTCACACTCTACTCCACATGTTCCTTCTTTGGTCGCCTTCTTGCCGCCGCACCTGACTTCTTAAACAGGTATTGATAAAGTTAGCTGATGTTGAAAGTCTTATATCGACTAGAGATAATATGATTGTTTTACATTACTTCTTAAACAGGTATTAATAAAGTTAATTTGTGTTGGAAGTACTAGAAAAACTGCATGATATAATGTGGTCAAAACATGAGTTAATAAGCATGTCACTAAATAGGTGTTAGTGGGGAGAACTCTCCCCTTAAATGGATTCAACTCAACTTATACTAAGGATCTAACAAAGCATGGAACTTATTCTACCACAAGTTCTAGCAAAAAATTGTATTTAGGATCACTTTGATTCCTTTTACAAAGTTACTAATGAGCTAATATGTTGCATGAGAATGCAGGAGAATGCACTTTGCAAGAACAGGGTGGTTTGCAGCAGCCTTGGTGCCAACACCAATTGCATTCATTTTGTTGGCCATATCTGGTAGTGGAGCAGCATTGCACATAGGCACAGCCTTGATAGGGTTGAGTTCAGGCTTTGTGTTTTCTGCAGCAGTGTCTATTACCTCAGAGCTATTTGGTCCAAACAACGTTGGAGTGAACCACAACATCCTCATCACCAACATTCCTTTAGGTTCATGTCTCTATGGCCTTCTTGCAGCTTTGGTTTATGATTCCAATGCAATTAACTCAACCCATGAAATTTGGCTGCAAGAAATGTCCATGTGCATCGGGAGAAACTGCTACCTGCAAACATTCATTTGGTGGAGTTGCATTTCAATGGTGGGCTTGGTTTCAAGTTTCTTCTTCTTCTTAAGGACTAAACAAGCTTATGACAATTTTGAAAAGTATGATAACAGCAACAACATAGCTACATGATAAGAAAAACTCTTATGTGTAAAGGAGATTGTATCATTATCTTTCAAGTGTTCATCAATTATAAATACAAAGCAATGTCAGAGAGATCTCACTTTCACTAAGAGACAAATTATAACATAGTAATGGTATTATGACACACTTTTATATTCATTTTACACAGAATATAAGAGTGAAATAGTTATAAAAATATAAATTTTTATATTTTTTATTTAGGAAAAAAATTTTTAGAAAAAGTAGTATCTAATAAATGTAAATGTTTGTCAAAAGAATATTTTTCATTTATAATATATAACTCACTCCTTAAAACGTTGCTTTAGATAAAGATTGTTGATTTTGAAATGAATGGATAACTTTTATTGCATGTACTTTTAGTCCAGAAGTTTGGGATAATTTTTATTTTGGTTCTAAAATTGTAAAAATATTTGCAGTCCATTAAAAAATAAAGAAAAGTTATTTTAAATGTATGTCAATTTTAGTTTTGCACTAAAATTGTAAGTTTTCTAAAATCATGAAACTCAAATCAAAGAAAAGATAAAGAAAAAAAAATCTCATATTACAATTGATTAAAATTAATTTAACTCGAAATTTAATGGTTAATGCTATTCGAAAGAAAATATTATTTCAAGACTAATTATGCATAAGTAAAAAGCATTTTTTTTTATCAGTTTTAGATATATGATTTGTAACATTTTTTTTTCGTTTCATTTTACGTAGTAACTATTAAAAGAACGTCAATAAATCATTTGCTTTTTAGTGTTGAAGCTTTTGATTTTATTCTTATTCGAGTTTTCAAATGGCACTTGAAATATTCAACTTTTATCCAATTACTCTTTTTTTTTTTCACATACTACATTTATCTAATGACAGCTATAATGATCAAAATAAATGTATTAAAATAATAAAAAAAAATGAATGTATGTTGTTTTAATGTAACATTACAGTAATATATCTTATATAAAGTGGTAAAATGGCCCCAAGTCAAATAAGGGTCAATGCTTTTCACCTCTAGTTTCTTTCATTAGTTCCATGAGGTGTATAAAATATTAAAAAAAAAAAATACTTTCACGTACATATTTTTTTGGCTTAATACCCTTTGTTCCCAGTTTCGCTCGATAATGTCAAATTAGTCCATCCTTTAAAAATTGCGTTAATTACGTCCTTACTTAATAAAATTTATATCAATGAATATTAACTCCGTTTGTACGGATTTAACGGGAGAGATTTCATTGATATAAATTTTATTAAGTAAGTACGTAATTGACGCACGTTTTAAACAATGGACTAATTTAAACTGGGACAAAATAGGATATTAAGCCTATTTTTTTTACATTCATTTGATATTATCTTTTTTATTTTTTATTTTTTTTTTCTTAAAAAATTATAAAAAATTTCTCTTTTATAACATTTTATCTTTGACTAATATTTAACATAACCTAATTTTATTTTATCTGATCCTCCGGACATTTTCTACACCCTTTTTGTTTATCTCCTTTGTGTCACAGTCACCACTATTTCTATTATATGTCATTCATATAACAATGAAAGAAAAATAGGAATGACAATATAACAGAAGAATGATTTTTCTTATTTCATATTCATCATTAAAGAAAAAGTTTATCTTCACTTTCATATTCAAACACAATAAATATGAAATTTTTGTTTCATTTCCATCTTCACCGGATAACGGATATACTCCTATATTCGTACCTACACCATATTTACTTTCTTACCATTTTATCATCAATTAATTAATTTTTATAAAATTATAAAAAAAAATTATTATAAAGAAAACATAATATTATCAAATATTTAATATCATAAGAATTTATTATCATTTCTTCAATATCAAATATTTAAAAAAAAATTATAACTATATACATTCTAAATTAGAATAGCAAATAAAATTTCAAGAAAACCAAAACAATTATTAAATTTGCAAACGTTAATAAAACAAAATTGATAAAATTTAAAACCATTTGTAAAATATTACAAAAAGAAAACATATATTTAAATTTAAAAATATTTTAAACGTCTCTTTATTATCATTCTTTAAATTATAATGAAATCTTTTTTTTTACACACTAATACACCACACATAAAACAAAAATTAAACTAATATTAATTGAAATTTAATATAAATATTTCATCTTTTAAACTTCAATATAAGTTGGATGATGATAAAGAAGACTACGTTAAATTATTATAGTGTAAAATAAACAAATCTTTTTCTATACAAGTGATATAATTACTAATGAAAACACAATACAATTTGTTTCCTGGATTCAAGGATGCCATTATGTTTGAAATAAAGTATAAAATTTAGCCAAATTAACAACCACATGTTAGAAAACACAATACAATTTGTTTCGGTTGAATTGGTCCGAGGATCGATTGTCCTTCCTTGTTCTGCTCTCTTTTGATCTTCAATCTTCTCCGAGAACGCGATCCATTCCAATGGGTTGTTGACCTGCAGAAGACACTCTGACGCTCAAGTCAGATATGTTTCATAAAGAAGTCTATATTTCATTAGGATAGAAAAGGATGATTGTACGTGACATCAATTGTATTATTTATAGAATTTGTGGCAGTCAAGTCCATTGATTAGTTATCAATATATTTTTAGAGAATCAAACCCAATAATCAATAATTAATAATGTATATTTGTAAAGCGTAAGGTAATCTGACCTATTAATACCTGATAATTGCCCATGAATGACCATTAACTCTGATCGATGTATTTCATATAGTACATAAGCACCCCAAGCCCAATCAAGCTCTTTTATTCAAAAGAGGTGCATAAGGATTATTATGAGCTTTAAAAGAGGTCGCTCACGTTGTATTTAGGGAGTCTATATTCGATGCTTCAAGTCTTCATTGCTCTCTGTACCGAGCGGCGAACTCTAGGAGTTCTCTTTGGATTTGTTCCCTAGACTGAACAGAAAATGCTAAGAGTTCTCTTTGACACTTTTTCATGTGCAAGAGATTTTCACTCCAAAAAATATGCTTTTAAATAAAATAAAGTAAACGTTTCAATATTTTATAATTTATTTTTATAATGAAAAGGCATTGGAACCTGACCTGTTGAGTAGTTGACTAATAAGAGTTCTTTTTCGAAGTTCCTGGGTTGAGCGGGGATTTCTGAAGTCATTTTTCTGACTTCCCCCGAGCGGCTTGAGGCAAGAGTCAGTTTTCTGACTTCCTGCGTTGAGCGGAGATTTCTGAAGTCATTTTTCTGACTTCCCCCAAGCAACTTGAGGTAGGAGTCATTTTTCTGACTTTCTGCGTTGAGCGGGGATTTCTGAGGTCATTTTTTTGACTTTCCCCAGAGCGGCTTGAGGCAGGAATCATTTTTCTGACTTCCTGCATTGAGCGGGGATTTCTGAAGTCATTTTTCTGACTTCCCCCGAGCGGCCATTATAACCTAACACAGTTGAAGGTATGTTTGAACCTTTCTGCACATGATATTTTATAATTTATAATTTAAAATTAAGAGTTGGTAGAACTTGACCAAGTTGAGGTCTGAACCTTCCTGCACATAATATTTTATAATTTATAATTTAAAACTAAGAGTCGGTAGAACCTGACAAGGTTGAACGCAGCTGTGAAACATCCTGTACATGATATTTTATAATTTAAAATTAAGAGTTGGTAGAACCTGACCAAGTTGAGGTCTGAACCTTCCTGCACATAATATTTTATAATTTATAATTTAAAACTAAGAGTCGGTAGAACCTGACAAGGTTGAACGCAGCTGTGAAACATCCTGTACATGATATTTTATAATTTAAAATTAAGAGTTGGTAGAACCTGACCAAGTTGAGGTCTGAACCTTCCTGCACATAATATTTTATAATTTATAATTTAAAACTAAGAGTCGGTAGAACCTGACAAGGTTGAACGCAGCTGTGAAACATCCTGTACATGATATTTTATAATTTAAAATTAAGAGTTGGTAGAACCTGACCAAGTTGAGGTCTGAACCTTCCTGCACATAATATTTTATAATTTATAATTTAAAACTAAGAGTCGGTAGAACCTGACAAGGTTGAACGCA